CCATTGTCGCCTACATTTATTTACTAATAAATTGTTCTAGGGCACATTTACATCCGGATATTGCGGTACTTTTTTGTCTGTGTATATTTCACGTACCACATAGAAAATACCACGCACAAACGATGTTACCGGTGAAGGATTCCACAAAGATGGGATTTACTCAATCTGATTACAATAAAGATCTATATATCGTTTCGTTTTTTTATACTTTTAATGGCCTACACTACATGAAGATCTGACAAGTTATAGTGATAGGTCACGTCAGGGGTCAAAGGACCGACTTATAACCCTATGACGTCAGACATTTGATTAACCAATCAGCATTGATGTTACTAGTGGATTACCCTCAGTTCCGTGAAAAACACGCCTAAAGCTCGCCGTAACAGACCGTTTCATTGGATTATCCCTGACACCATTCAGAACACGAGTTAAATAACAACTCTTCCAGATCCAAGCGTAGTAAAAGACAAGTAAAACGAAATTTTGAACTATAAAAACGAAACGAAATAGGATCTGTGTTTTAACCAGATTGTGATTTACTATGAAATACCCATCCCTTTAAAGATTAAGCTACAATGTAGGACAATCTTTTTCTGGCTTCATGAGTTACAGAATACCCTCGTCTTTTATATACTGGGAATCTAAATTGGACATAATAACCCGGTAATGTATCTTTCCGGTTATAACAGATCGTTGTGGACGAACTGTGCGAAGGCCTCGAAAGTTCCAATATCAGGAAGAACGCTGATTATGTGAAGTAATTGACCCACGAAGCCAACTTTGCGATAATTTCCGAAACTACAGAGTAACAATTTCTCCATAGGAATCTTCTAATAAAATTCCGGTTGTTATTTAACTAAGAACTATGACTCATTGATGATTGCCATTTGTATATATTTGAGCGATTCCTTTATTCTGCATGTATTAACTGGTTTTATAAATGCAGGGCGACGCTCTTCGGGAAATGTCTGATACTCCTCTAATTCAAATACGATCGACCCGAAACTGTTGAATTCTCGATTTTACCTGCTGTCGTTTCGGATCGGTTTATTTTTTCAACGGTTCGTAACCTCCACCGATTCACTCAGATAAATTTTCTTCAATGTTCCCACTTTAAGGAATCGTCGACCAAGACGTTATGATCTAAAGCTTGCACGTGAAGCAACTAAACCACCTCTGCCTGATGTGAATATCGATATGTGACGGGGAAACAAACCAAGATGTCTTCAATGTAGAAAACATCTCCCCTTACGGAATCGTTACAACCATATTTGTTTGGATTTTTCCGATTGCTGACTCAATATAGTTAAACATACATTATGTAAAAGTTAAATTTTAGGGTCTGTTTCACGAAATTTTAACTAAGATAAAATCCAAATTTTAGTTATTTGATTGGATAATATTAGATTGATTAAATGAATTGAAATGAAATGGAGTTTAACGTCCTACTGTTCTACTCCTATACGGGGCTAATGATTAAAGTGCTCAGCCAATCAAAATTAAAGTATCTACTAAAGTTGTGATTTTGTCTTTCGTTAAGATCTCGAGAAACAGGGCCAAGGTTCTTTTGCTGATTTGAAATATAATATAACCTATTATTTAAACATTTATTAACATGCCACGCCCAAAATCAACTTCTTGGGGACATTTAAGAGTTTAACAATCAAACAGGTAACCAAGACTTCTCTCGATTGTCAAGTACCGTTGCTGCGGTAATAAACAATCTACGCAACATTTTTTTTCAAAATGTCAAACATGTGTGACCAAAAAAGTAAGTTGGTTGAAATTTTCAATATATTTATATTTCATTATATTATAGCAGGAACGACCAGGTCCCTGTTTCTCGAAATCTTAACTAAAGATAAAATCCAAATTTTAGTAGATACTTCAATTTTAATTAGCTAAGCACTAAAATCAACCCAATATTATCCAATCAAATTGCTAAAATTTGGATTTTAACTTTAGTTAAGATTTCGAGAAACAGGGTCCCGACCTTTAACTTAATCCTAAATAATGTATTTTTAATGATATTTGTGTAACGGTATATAATCAAATTATCTGCTAAAAGCTGAACCATTAATAGACCATGTTTTCTATCAAACCATACATCTTTATGCCACCGCGTTCCACGTCATTATTAAAAGAAGATATTTTGTAATATATTTTAGGATTGCACTGCCAGTAGCAATATTTGCTGCTGTCAGAAATGCTAATTTACCAAAAAACTTAAATGTCAAGTGGAAAATATAATAAATATTCAGACTCCATCCCATCAAAAACAAAACACCCTCGTCTTCAGTGCACAAACAAACGTAAGACGTTAAACTCGTTTTATCAAAAAAAAATCCATGGCTCGTGACAAACAGTGGGGTGGATTTTTTGGGAAAATTTTAATGAAGTTACAGTTTTCATTTTGTACTTCATACAGTTTTATTTCAAGAAGTTAGATGCTAATATGTCAATTCGCTTCAGAGAAATGACGTAAAGCAAAAATGCGGTGTCTTCTAAGTCTTCATTTAAAGCCTTTCATGTTTCCCCTGGCAACACAGTCACGTTCGACAATCTCTTAAAGAAGCTTTAAGTCCTGGAGGTATTGTCAGCTTTCTCTAATTTGTCTATATCATTGCACTGTACAGGTTCGAATTTAATTGTATGTAAAGTAAATTTGAAACAAATTTGCCGGGCCATCGATGAGATATGGGCATTTACTTCATCACCGACAAGGAAAAACATGCTGCAAAAACCAGAGTATCAATCAAGCGGCATCAAGGATAGTCTCACTTTAATATTATTTTCTTTCTGTTTTGTATGAAAGTCGCCACTATTTAATGATGTAAAAAGGGGGGTAATAATCGATTCAGCTTGATTGAAGGCTTGATTAAAATGGCTAGTTTATAAACCCGCAGGGTTGTTGTCCTGAATCATAATACTGTTTTTCACATAATAACAATTTTTTTTATATATTCCAATCATGATATTTTTTATACTTTTCAGTTGTCATAGTTCTAGATAAATAGAGAGAGAGAGAGAGAGAGAGAGAGAGAGAGAGAGAAAACTGGGGTTTTACGCCCACTAGGCACAAACCATAGCGGTGTTTGTGATTCTCCCGAAACGGCCAACGCCAAAAAATTGGGATAATGCGACTTGATGTTCAGAAATCCTTTATTTCCCGCATATTTTTATACGTCCACATTATACCGTAGCCCCTGTCTCTTGTGTGCGTGTGTGCAGGGGCGTATATAACGATTTTGTTAGGGGGGGGGTAGCAAAAATGCGACCGACTGATGCCCATACCCCTAGTACGAGTGACGCAGGTGCGAGTTTTGTAGGAACCATGTGCAGTAGCAGATCTAGTCACAATCCCACCCCACAATGAATGTCAATAAAATACTGGCTATAACATTAAGCGTTCCGGTAGAACATAGATGGTATTGTATAATTATATAGTTGTTTGCCGATCGTTGTCTCACCGAAAAGCAGTTTTATTTAAGGTGACATAAAGTTTATGTCATATATGATTGTGCCTATAACACTGAGCAACTTGAGGAAATTTTGAAAAATTGAGTCAATATCTTGGCATTTGAGGTCATTGTTGGGAGGAATTCTTGTGGACGAGAGGACCAGAAATGTGAGTCAGTTAGACAAAATCTCGAGATCTGCCCCTGTCAATTCCGCCTGTTTTGCAAGAGTTGACAGAACATTTGTATAGTCTGACGCCCCACGACCCACACACCAGTGCCAGTGGTACTACAAACATAACTAAGCAGTTCAGTATAACCGTGAATATGATAGTGCTGAGACAGTATAAGACAACAGTGGAGTGGAAGAATGATGTTATAATGGAACCGAGCGCCAGGCCCGAACAAATTTCAGATGTGTAACCGAGCTTTTAATTTTTGGGACTGGGCCTGACAATTTTAGTCAATGTCATGGCAAATGGATCCGTATTCTCGTTAACGAGAGGATAAGAAATGGGACAGAATCTTGAGACCTATCTGTCAATGTCGCCGGTTTTGTGGGAGTAGAACTAACAATTCTACAGTATTTTGACCCACGAATCACTCACTAGTGGTACTACTAACTGGGCGATTCACTGTAACTGTGAATATGATAGTGATGAGATAGTAAAAGACAGAGGAGGAGTTGAAGAATGATGGCATAATGGAATTGAGCGCCGAATTGAGCTTTTAATTTTTGAGGACTGGCCCTGAGGGCACTTTACCTCAATGGGGCGCTTACTTGGTCTCTGAAATGCCCTGGACTTTGGGGAGGGATTTTGCAGAATTCTGATGGTCAGAAAACACCCCATTAATTCATTTAGTCTGAGACCGACTGCGGTGAGTAATTTTTTTTGAGACCGACTTTTTGTTTGCCATGGGGTGAAAAACATTTTTTTCAAACATGATAAGTCGACAAGGTTATTTTATACTTAAGTTTTGCGTGAGTAGCGTGACGTGTGTAGTAAGCACTTATTTTGATACCGACTGCGCTGATTTTGCGACCGACTAGTATTTGGGATCTATTCTGGCATTATTTGTTTACCTCATTAATTCATTAAGACGGCGATGCATAACTTTGAGACCGACTGCAGTGACTGCACTTATTTTGAGACCGACTATTTTTCTCCCTGGGGGGAATTTTGTTCTTAGACCTACATACTCACAACAGAATAAGAGTGAAACACATCATTTTTTCAAACATGATAAGTTGACAAGGTTATTTTATACTACAGTTTTACGTGAGTAGCGTGACGTGTGCAGTGAGCTCTTATTTTGCGACCGACTGCACTGATTTTGCGACCGACTTTTTTTTTCCGGGGGGGGGGGGGGGGGTACCACCCCCCACCCCCACATTTACGCCCCTGCGTGTGTGTATGTTTGTGCGTATGTAAAAGGTGTACAACCCAGACACACGCGAGGATACACACCTTCTAATTGAGGACATGCCGTAGTCACTGTCTGTGTGTGACTGTGGCGCGTGCGTATGTTAATGGCGTACGATGGCTGAATGGTTAGCACGTGCGCGCTGTATCATAGAGACTGTCATTGAGTCAACAGGCGTGGTTTCGATTCCCGATTGTACGTGCCAAGGAGTAGAATCGCCTGTCCAACCTCGTTGGTTTTCTCCGGGTCCTCCCACTGCTAAAGATCCCTACGCGCAAGCGAATTATTGAAATAAAATTGAACCATGTTAGTCCCGAAATGACCTAGTTTGTGTCAAGTGGACGTTAAACAACGTCTCTCTCGCTCTCTCTTTCCCTTTCTCCCTCTCTCCTCGGTTGACGGTACAGTATATGTGGTGGGTATGACGTGTTAACCTCAAAATAATCGTGTACACACAATCACGTGATCAGTACGTACGTTATAAAATGGCGGATTGATTTTTGATTGGAAGTTTATTTCTTCTAAGTTATTGTTACATAGAAAGCTGATAACAGACCAATACAACCATTTGTTAAATAGTGGGCCAGATGTTTAATAGGACTTAAAATGTCTACAGTTGTTAATAAAAGAACCAAAATGTCTTCTATCTGTAGTAATCAGACACACGCGTGTGTGACCTAAATTCTTAATGTATTTGGATATGTCAGGTAAATTAAGATTTCTGCTGTACTATACCAGCTATTTATCGAATATTATCACCTAATAATACATTCTACAGTAGATATCGTTTGTGTGATATATTTCATAATCTACTGCTATATCTCCTTAGGAGATATCGCTTTACATGAATTTGATTGGTCAGTTGAAAAGGAACTACTTTTTTTTATTTTCAAAGAACAGTTCATTTCTTATTAAAAGTAACTTTTTTTAATATTAAAAATGAACTATTGTTATTCAATTGACCTTGATGGAAACACTGGGTCAATATAAAGGACTTTGCAATGGTTGAATTGCTGTCAAAAAATGATGTATCTCTACGCCATAATGTCCAGTAAAAAGTTAAATCTACAGCAAAGAATTATATTTATCTATTTGTGCATGTAAGAAGGGATTGGGTGATAAATAAAATCTCCTACTCGTCTTTTTTTATATCAAAAAATATCAACAATCGTTGATAAAGTAAAAAAAACTCGGCAGAGCCTCGTTTTTTGTTACTTTATCAACTTGTGTTGATATTTTTTGATATCAAAAAAGACTGGTAGGAGATTCTCTATATATCCTTAATTGGGGGTGGGTAGGGTCAGTGTGGTAGTAGTATATGACATTGGCCCCACCTTCAGTTGAGGTGGGTAGGGTCAGTGTGTTAGTAGTATATGACATTGGCCCCACCTTCAATTAGTATTTGTATTTTTGTAATTTATAATGTAGTCCAGTCTTCAGAGAACGAAATTACTTCCAGGTAGACAGATCACGCCTACGATTGGAAATACATCAATCGATATGTCCTCGATTTATAGGAATCCTACGCACATACGTCTGTCCTCATTTTCTATCATTCGAACAGTTGTGTGTCATTAAAATTGATAGTTTTCTACACACACCAATGGCTCACAGAGGTTTAATTTATTGTAGTAAAATATTTCAAATTAAATTATTATCGTCCAATCGATTTAGATTAATTATTTGAGTCCAAGATAACTAGATTAATCCAATTAGATGGAATATTGGAGTCCGTGCTAATTAGATATTTTGAGTTGAATTCAAATAAATGGATTACTCGAGTCCAATCCAATGAGATGGATAATAGTCTGGAGGAATGATACATCCAAGGAGAGGGGGTGAGGGAAATCCCTTAAAATAAATGGTGGTACCTTTCGTTAAATAGGCAGTCCACCAACCAAAAGTTCCAGATGATATTATACTATGATCACAACTCATTAATACTCCAAAATCAACTTCTACACTTTCATGAACAATAACCGAATCGTTAAATTGTAAATGATCTGTCACCCATTTCTTATCTTCTGAACACACGACAAATATTGGATTTGTTAAATTTTGTCTCAGTATATTCATAGCTTTGTAAAAATACGAAGGGGTAGCTACCGTGGTTCCTTTTCTATTCACAAAATCACCTCTTCTAACATGAACTCCAACCTTTATTCGATGTGATATGTTAAGTGTATTAAAGATATGTTTGACCCGAGCCTTGATGTCCGCTTTCAGGATAAACTCCTTTCGGATATCCGATTCTATTTTTTGGAAATATTTAAACGATTGTAAGTATCCAAACACTGTTATATTAGTTGTTTTATTTATGGGTGACATCAGATCTTTGGTAAAAATTCCTATACATTTTTCACCTTTCACAACATTATTGTTCAGGGTAAATTTGTCGACAGAATTATTTAAATTAATTTCAAACAATTTAAGTATAGGATCTGTTCTACTTAAAATGGGTGTATAGTTGATAGCGTCCCCTATTCCTCTTAAGGAAGCGTAGAAAAACATATGATTACCCAACCGACCCCAAGCTCCCTTTAATCCCAGAAAATGTGTCCTTTTTTTCTCGGTACCTGTCTCGATTTGCGATATTTCGTCCTTTTTCAGTAAATGATTTCCATTCTCCTCGGGATCATCTAATTGGTAAGTGCCTTTCGTTTGAATTGAAGGTTTCATCAATTTGTTTAGTACTCTTTCGCTGTTAGACCTCAGAGCTAATTGTTTTCTATTTTTCCTGTCACCTGTCTGGATTTGAGATACGTCGTCCCTTTTCAATGAATGGTATCCATTTTTTAGTCCAACCCTCGTCTTCCGTTTCCCATGATATATACTGTTAGTGGTCTCCGTTTGAGTTATCAATTTTCCGTGAGTTGCTGCGCTTTTAAACCTCGGGGTTGATTGTTGAACATTCGTCATAAAATATACATGAAGCAAAGCCGATAAAATAAGAACACCGAATAAGGGATACAAAACGATATATTTGTTCATAATGTCACGAGAATAAGTAACATGTAATTCATAAATACAAAATTTATCTTAAATTAACACAGCAAATCACCGAAATAAAACAGATTTTTAAAAATATTCCTCAAAAAGAGATCCTTATTTGTTTTGACTGAACAGAAGTAAATGGATTGGAAACACAATTTATCCCAAATGAACACAGAATAAAGCCTTTAAAAAATTTCACCGTAAGAGAGATCCGTATTTTTGACTCAACTGAAGTAAATGATTGAAAATTAAGTAACCACTACAATATTCGCTTCTTGCATTGCAGCCAGTAGCTTGTTCTTAATAGTATATTCGGACAATACAAAATGGATTTTTGGATAAAATCTGATACATAATATTTAGATAACAATGCAAAATAATCGATCCTAAAGTTAATTCAAATTATAAATTAAGTGACAGATTGATATAGTAATATATCGTATATAATATTATGTATACGTCAGCGTGTCAACAGAATTTCATGGAAAAGAATAAATTTTGTCTTTATATTAAAATAAAATTAAATTAAACAAAAATACATTTTACAAATCTAATATGACAAATGTCTAATTTGTAAAACAAATAATGATTTTAAGATACAAATGTTAATTTTAGAGTACAAATGTCGAAATACGACAACAAATGAAGAAATAAGATTTAAGGACTATGAATTAAGAACTAAGAATTAAGAACACTGAATAAAGAGCTGTTTGGTCTTTCATACTATAGAACCAACAGATGAGATGAAGTTGAGTTGTGACACACTTGTTTAATTGACATCTTGAAGAAAAGCATTAAAAAGAATATAAATTATACCCTCATGATACTTTGACAGTTGGTGTGGATGATTAGCTTCATCTTGAAGGATAGCATTAATTAAACAGAACTATTTCTGAAAACTTATTTTTGTTACATATGTCATAAAATAAACAGCAGCAAACGAAGACTCGGCACGATGACATCACTTTATTATCAACAAAATACTTAAATTGGATTACAGAAATAACCACTTCGATTGTCCTTTGGATGACAAAGAAATTGATTAAAAATTAAACAGAACAAACCATTTATAAAGCCTTACTAAAAAGCCAAAATTTTTAAAAAGTGATCCTGACAAAATTGGTTATTTCTCGACAAGGGAAGTTCTTATAAATATCTTTTTGATATCTATATGATCACATTAATTAATTCTATTTTGCCATTGGAATCAAATATCATAATTTTCATTGAATAATGAATATCACTTACTTCAAACAAATATTTGGCTTAGTGGCTAAAATAATAAATAATGAAAATGTTAATTTAATTTTGTGAAATCACAATAATAATTGTCACTTTAATAGACCAAAAACCTTGAAAAGTGACTTGTAGAAAGTCGTTTATTTCTCCGTAACTGAACACGTTAGAAACAATTTTGTGATATCTATATGACCGTATTCCTTTTACTTATCTGTTGATTCAAACTAAAATTTAAAATTTTCAAAAAGTAGCACATAATACTCAGTTGAAAAATATTTATTTCCTAGATTCACTCTAGCACCATCAGCCATAAACCAAATTAACTTTGTTCCAAGAATGCGATTATAGCTATCCCATCAGAGAGAGAGAGGGAGAGAGATGGGGTTTAACGTCCACTCTGCTAGGTTATTTCGGGACTAAAACATGGTTCAATTTTATTTCAATAATTCGTTTGCGCGTAGCAGTCTTTAGCAGTGCGAGGAAACCGGAACCGAAGAAAACCGCCGAAGTTTGACAAGCGACCCTACTCCTTGTCACGTACTACCGGGGAAACGAAACACCGCCAGTTGACTCAATGACAGACTGTATGATGCAGCGCGCACGTGCTAACCATTCGGCCATCCCCCCCCCCCCCAACGGGAAAAAAATAGGGGTGTATTTTCCGACAGAAAAACAAACTTTTGTTTTCAATCCAGTTATAAAGTATCGCCCTTAACAAGTAGGCTACCGTCTACCTTCGTTAAGTTAGTTACGCCTTTGACAATTCTGTTAACAGTGAAGTTGTTAGAATTTTACATTATCCTAATTAAATTTATTATTTACAGTTAGAGCATTGTGTATAAGCAAATTGCTTATGTGTTTGAAAGCCAAATGAATCTAAGAAAATCTTTATTTCTTTTTATAACAAATTTTCATAAATAGACCAGAATATAATAACTGGTAGTTTTTTGTTTATTTATTTTAAAACAAGGAAATTAAACGGTGTTAGTATTTAATGCCTCATTAGAAAACAAATATCTGTATATTTTTTATGGGAGATGCGAAGTCTACTCTTCCAATATATCACTACCACTACTTTATTGACATGAATATGGGGTTTTATTCCATCCTTAACTCCACAGAATCGAGCTTTTAAAAAGTTATTCAAGGCTTATCCTTGAGAGTGAGAGAGGGAGAGAGATAGAGAGAGAGAGAGAGAGAGAGGGGGAGAGAGAGAAAGATAGAGAGAGAGAGAAAGAGAGAGAGAGAGAGGGGGAGAGAGAGAGAGAGAAAGAGAGAGAGCGAGAGAGAGAGAGAGAGAGGGATAGAGAGAAAACCAACGAGGTTGGACAGGCGATTCTACTCCTTGGCACGTACAGTCGGAAATCGAAACCACGCCTGTTGACTCAATGACAGTCTCTATGATACAGCGCGCACGTGCTAACCATTCAGCCATCGTACGCCATTTACGTACGCAAGCGCCACAGTCACACACAGACAGTGACTACGGCATGTCCTCAATTAGAAGGTGTGTATCCTCGCGTGTGTCTGGGTTATTCACCTTTTACATACGCACAAACATACACACACGCAGGGGCGTAAATGTGGGGGGTGTACCCCCCCCCCCCCGGAAAAAATATAGTCGGTCGTAAAATCAGTGCAGTCGGTCGCAAAATAAGAGCTCACTGCACATGTCACGCTACTCACGTAAAACTTTAGTATAAAATAACCTTGTCAACTTATCATGTTTGAAAAAATGATGTGTTTCACTCTTATTCTGTTGTGAGTATGTTGGTCGATGAACAAACTTTCCCCCAGGGAGAAAAATAGTCGGTCTCAAAATAAGTGCAGTCACTGCAGTCGGTCTCAAAGTTATGCATCGCCGTCTTAATGAATTAATGAGGTAAACAAATAATGCCAGAATAGATCCCAAATACTAGTCGGTCGCAAAATCAGCGCAGTCGGTCGTAAGATATGAGCAGTCGGTATCAAAATAAGTGCTTACTACACACGCAAAACTTTAGTATAAAATAACCTTGTCGACTTATCATGTTTGAAAAAAATGTTTTTCACCCCATGGCAAAAAAATAGTCGGTCTCAAAAAAAATTACTCTCCGCAGTCGGTCTCAGACTTAATCATATTCACGGTTATACTGAACTGCCTAGTTATGTTTGTAGTACCACTGGCACTGGTGTGTGGGTCGTCAGACTACAAATGTTCTGTCAACTCTTGCAAAACAGGCGGAATTGACAGGGGCAGATCTCCGGGTCCTCCCACTGCTAAAGACTCCTACGCGCAAGCGAATTATTGAAATAAAATTAAACCATGTTAGTCCCGAAATGACCTAGTTTGTGTCAAGTGGACGTTAAACCCCGTCTCTCTCTCTCTCCCTTTCTCCCTCTCCTCGGTTGACGGTACAGTATATGTGGTGGGTATGACGTGTTAACCTCAAAATAATCGTGTACACACAATCACGTGATCAGTACGTACGTTATAAAATGGCGGATTGATTTTTGATTGGAAGTTTATTTCTTCTAAGTTATTGTTACATAGAAAGCTGATAACAGACCGATACAACCAGTTGTTACATAGTGTCATTGATTAGTGGGCCAGATGTTTAATAGGACTTAAAATGTCTACAGTTGTTAATAAAAGAACCAAAATGTCTTCTATCTGTAGTAATCAGACACACGCGTGTGTGACCTAAATTCTGAATGTATTTGGATATGTCAGGTAAATTAAGATTTCTGCTGTACTATACCAGTTATTTATCGAATATTATCACCCCATAATACATTCTACAGTAGATATCGTTTGTGTGATATATTTCATAATCTACTGCTATATCTCCTTAGGAGATATCGCTTTACATGAATTTGATTGATCAGTTGAAAAGGAACTACTTTTTTTTTATTTTCAAAGAACAGTTCATTTCTTATTAAAAGTACCTTTTTTTAATATTAAAAATGAACTATTCTTATTCAATTGACTTTGATGGAAACACTGGTTCAATATAAAGAACTTTGCAATGGTTGAATTGCTGTCAAAAAAATGATGTATCTCTACGCCATAATGTTCAGTAAAAGTTAAATCTACAGCAAAGAATTATATTTATCTATTTGTGCATGTAAAATCTCCTACTCGTCTTTTTTATATCAAAAAATATCAACACTCGTTGATAAAGTAAAAAAAAAACTCGGCAGAGCCTTGTTTTTTGTTACTTTATCAACTTGTGTTGATATGTTTTGATATCAAAAAAGACTGGTAGGAGATTCTCTATATATCCTTAATTGGGGGTGGGTAGGGTCAGTGTGGTAGTAGTATATGACATTGGCCCCACCTTCAATTGGGGTGGGTAGGGTCAGTGTGTTAGTAGTATATGACATTGGCCCCACCTTCAATTAGTATATGTATTTTTGTAATTTATAATGTAGTCCAGTCTTCAGAGAACGAAATTACTTCCAGGTAGACAGATCACGCCTACGATTGGTAATACATCAATCGATATGTCCTCGATTTATAGGAATCCTACGCACATACGTCTGTCCTCATTTTCTATCATTCGAACAGTTGTGTGTCATTAAAATTGATAGTTTTCTACACACACCAATGGCTCACAGAGGTTTAATTTATTGTAGTAAAATATTTCAAATTAAATTATTATCGTCCAATCGATTTAGATTAATTATTTGAGTCCAAGATAACTAGATTAATCCAATTAGATGGAATATTGGAGTCCGTGCTAATTAGATATTTTGAGTTGAATTCAAGTAAATGGATTACTCGAGTCCAATCCAATGAGATGGATAATAGTCTGGAGGAATGATACATCCAAGGAGAGGGGGCGAGGGAAATCCCTTAAAATAAATGCTGGTACCTTTCGTTAAATAGGCAGTCCACCAACCAAAAGTTCCAGATGATATTATATTATGATCACAACTCATTAATACTCCAAAATCAACTTCTACACTTTCATGAACAATAACCGAATCGTTAAATTGTAAATAATCCTTCACCCATTTCTTATCTTCTGAACACACGACAAATATTGGATTTGTTACATTTTGTCTCAGTATATTCATAGCTTTGTAAAAATACGAAGGAGTGGCTACCTTGGTTCCTTTTCTATTCACAAAATCACCTCTTCTAACATGAACTCCAACCTTTATTCGATGTGATATGTTAAGTGTATTAAAGATATGTTTGACCCGAGCCTTGATGTCCGCTTTCAGGATAAACTCCTTTCGGATATCCGATTCTATTTTTTGGAAATATTTAAACGATTGTAAGTATCCAAACACTGTTATATTAGTTGTTTTATTTATGGGTGACATCAGATCTTTGGTAAAAATTCCTATACATTTTTCACCTTTCACAACATTATTGTTCAGGGTAAATTTGTCGACAGAATTATTTAAATTAATTTCAAACAATTTAAGTATAGGATCTGTTCTACTTAAAATGGGTGTATAGTTGATAGCGTCCCCTATTCCTCTTAAGGAAGCGTAGAAGAACATATGATTACCCAACCTACCCCAAGCTCCCGTTAATCCCAGAAAATGTGTCCTTTTTTTCTCGGTACCTGTCTCGATTTGCGATATTTCGTCCTTTTTCAGTAAATGATTTCCATTCTCCTCGGGATCATCTAATTGGTAAGTGCCTTTCGTTTGAATTGAAGGTTTCATCAATTTGTTTAGTACCCTTTCGCTGTTAGACCTCAGAGCTAATTGTTTTCTATTTTTCCTGTCACCTGTCTGGATTTGAGATACGTCGTCCCTTTTCAATGATTGGTATCCATTTTTTAGTCCAACCCTCGTCTTCCGTTTCCCATGATATATACTGTTAGTGGTCTCCGTTTGAGTTATCAATTTTCCGTGAGTTGCTGCGCTTTTAAACCTCGGGGTTGATTGTTGAACATTCGTCATAAAATATACATAAAGCATAGCCGACAAAATAAGAACACCGAATAAGGGATACAAAACGATATATTTGTTCATAATGTCACGAGAATAAGTAACATGTAATTCATAAATACAAAATTTATCTTAAATTAACACAGCACAAAGTCTCCAAATTAAATCACCGAAATAAAACAGATTTTTAAAAATATTCCTCAAAAAGAGATCCCTATTTGTTTTGACTGAACAGAAGTAAATGGATTGGAAACACAATTTATCCCAAATGAACACAGAATAAAGCCTTTAAAAAATTTCACCGTAAGAGAGATCCGTATTTTTGACTCAACTGAAGTAAATGATTGAAAATTAAGTAACCACTACAATATTCGCTTCTAGCATTGCAGCCAGTAGCTTGTTCTTAATAGTATATTCGGATAATACAAAATGGATTTTCTATAAAATCTGATACATAATATTTAGATAACAATGCAAAATAATCGATCCTAAAGTTTATTCCAATTCAAATTATAAATTAAGTGACAGATTGGTATAGTAATATACCGTATATAATATTATGTATACGTCAGCGTGTCAACAGAATTTCATGGAAAAGAATAAATTTTGTCTTTATATTAAAATAAAATTAAATTAAACAAAAATACATTTTACAAATCTAATATGACAAATATCTAATTTGTAAAACAAATAATGATTTTAAGATACAAATGTTAATTTTAGAGTACAAATGTCGAAATACGACAACAAATGAAGAAATAAGATTTAAGGACTATGAATTAAGAACTAAGAATTAAGAACACTGAATAAAGAGCTGTTTGGTCTTTCATACTATAGAACCAACAGATGAGATGAAGTTGAGTTGTGACACACTTGTTTAATTGACATCTTGAAGAAAAGCATTTAAAAGAATATAAATTATACCCTCATGATACTTTGACAGTTGGTGTGGATGATTGGCTTCATCTTGAAGGATAGCATTAATTAAACAGAACTATTTCTAAAAACTTATTTTTGTTACATATGTCATAAAATAAACAGCAGCAAACGAAGACTCGGCACGATGACATCACTTTATTATCAACAAAATACTTAAATTGGATTACAGAAATAACCACTTCGATTGTCCTTTGGATGACAAAGAAATTGATTAAAAATTAAACAGAACAAACCATTTATAAAGCCTTACTAAAAGGCCAAAATTTTTAAAAAGTTATCCTGACAAAATTGGTTATTCTCGATATGGGAAGTTCTTATAAATATTTTTTTGATATCTATATGATCACATTGATTAATTCTATTTTGCCATTGGAATCAAATATCATAATTTTCATTGAATAATGAATATCACTTACTTCAAACAAATATTTGGCTTGGTGGCTAAAAAAATAAATAATGAAAATGTTAATTTAATTTTGTGAAATCATAAAGGGCATTATCCATCATATGGCAATTTTTTTTTATAAAAATCGAATAATAATTGTCACTTTAATAGACCAAAAACCTTGAAAAGTGACTTGTAGAAAGTCGTTTATTTCTCCGTAACTGAACACGTTAGAAACAATTTTGTGATATCTATATGACCGTATTCCTTTTACTTATCTGTTGATTCAAACTAAAATTTAAAATTTTCAAAAAGTAGCACATAATACTCAGTTGAAAAATATTTATTTCCTAGATTCACTCTAGCACCATCAGCCATAAACCAAATTAACTTTGTTCCAAGAATGCGATTATAGCTATCCCATCAGAGAGAGAAAGAGAGAGAGAGAGAGAGGGAGAGAGATGGGGTTTAACGTCCACTCTGCTAGGTTATTTCGGGACTAAAACATGGTTCAATTTTATTTCAATAATTCGCTTGCGCGTAGGAGTCTTTAGCAGTGCGAGGAAACCGGAACCGAAGAAAACCCCCGAAGTTTGACAGGCGACCCTACTCCTTGTCACGTACTACCGGGGAAACGAAACACCGCCAGTTGACTCAATGACAGACTGTATGATGCAGCGCGCACGTGCTAACCATTCGGCCATCCACCCCCCCCCTCCCCAACGGGAAAAAAATAGGGGTGTATTATTCTAGATTGTTCCGACAGAAAAACAAACTTTTGTTTTCAATCCAGTCATAAAGTATCGCCCTTAACAAGTAGGCTTCCGTCTACCTTCGTTAAGTTAGTTACGCCTTTGACAATTCTGTTAACAGTGAAGTTGTTAGAATTTTACATTATCCTAATTAAATTTATTATTTACAGTTAGAGCATTGTGTATAAGCAAATTGCTTATGTGTTTGAAAGCCAAATGAATCTAAGAAAATCTTTATTTCTTTTTATAACAAATTTTCATAAATAGACCAGAATATAATAACTGGTAGTTTTTTGTTTATTTATTTTAAAACAAGGAAATTAAACGGTGTTAGTATTTAATGCCTCATTAGAAAACAAATATCTGTATATTTTTTATGGGAGATGCGAAGTCTACTCTTCCAATATATCACTACCACTACTTTATTGACATGAATATGGGGTTTTATTCCATCCTTAACTCCACAGAATCGAGCTTTTAAAAAGTTATTCAAGGCTTATCCTTGAGAGTGAGAGAGGGAGAGAGATAGAGAGAGAGAGAGAGAGAGAGAGAGAGGGGGAGAGAGTGAGAGAGAGAGAGGGAGAGAGAGAGGGAGACACATAGAGAGAGATAGAGAGTGAGAGAGAGAGGGAGAGAGAGAGAGAGAGACAGAGACATAGAGAGAGAGAGGGGGAGAGAGAGAGAGAGTGAGAGAGAGAGGGAGAGAGAGAGAGACATAGAGAGAGAGAGTGAGAGAGAGAGAGAGACAGAGACATAGAGAGAGAGAGAGAGGGAGAGAGAGACAGAGACATAGAGAGAGAGAGAGAGGGAGAGAGAGACAGAGACATAGAGAGAGAGAGAGAGGGAGAGAGAGAGAGGGAGAGAGACAGAGACATAGAGAGAGAGAGAGCGAGAGAGAGTGAGAGAGAGAGAGAGAGTGAGAGAGAGAGAGAGAGAGAGACAGAGACATAGAGAGAGAGAGTGAGAGAGACATAGAGACAGAGACATAGAGAGAGAGAGAGAGAGGGAGAGAGGGAGAGAGAGAGACATAGAGAGAGAGAGTGAAAGAGAGAGAGAGACAGAGACATAGAGAGAGAGAGTGAGAGAGAGAGAGGGAGAGACAGAGACATAGAGAGAGATAGAGAGTGAGAGAGAGAGAGGGAGAGAGAGAGAGGGGGAGAGAGAAAGAGAGAGAGAGAGGGAGAGAGAGAGAGACATAGAGAGAGATAGAGAGTGAGAGAGAGAGACAGAGACAGAGACATAGAGAGTGAGAGAGAGGGAGAGAGAGACAGAGACATAGAGAGAGAGTGAGAGAGACAGAGAGAGAGAGACAGAGACATAGAGAGTGAGAGAGAGGGAGAGACAGAGACATAGAGAGAGAGAGAGTGAGAGAGAGAGAGGGAGAGAGAGAGGGAGAGACACATAGAGAGAGATAGAGAGTGAGAGAGAGAGGGAGCGACAGAGACATAGAGAGAGATAGAGAGTGAGAGAGGGAGAGAGAGAGAGGGGGAGAGAGAAAGAGAGAGAGAGAGGGAGAGAGAGAGAGACATAGAGAGAGATAGAGAGTGAGAGAGAGAGACAGAGACAGAGACATAGAGAGTGAGAGAGAGGGAGAGAGAGACAGAGACATAGAGAGAGAGTGAGAGAGACAGAGAGAGACATAGAGAGAGAGAGAGGGAGAGAGACATAGAGAGAGATAGAGAGTGAGAGAGAGAGACATAGAGAGAGACAGAGAGAGAGAGACAGAGACATAGAGAGTGAGAGAGAGGGAGAGACAGAGACATAGAGAGAGAGAGAGTGAGAGATAGAGAGTGAGAGAGAGAGGGAGAGACAGAGACATAGAGAGAGATAGAGAGTGAGAGAGGGAGAGAGAGAGAGGGGGAGAGAGAAAGAGAGAGAGAGAGGGAGAGAGAGAGAGACATAGAGAGAGATAGAGCGAGAGAGAGAGGGAGAGAGAGAGATAGAGAGAGAGAAAGAGAGAGAGAGAGAGAGAGAAGGAGAGAGAGAGATAGAGAGAGAGAGTGAGAGAGGGAGAGAGAGAGATGGATAGAGAGAGAGCGAGAGAGAGAGGGGGAGGAGAGAGAAATAGGGTTTAACGTCCACTCGACACAAACTAGGTCATTTCGGGAATAATATATTGTTTAATTTTATTTCAATAATTCGCTTGCCCGTAGGGGTCTTTAGCAGTGGGAGGAAACCGGAAGACCGAAGAAAACCCACGAGGTTGGACAGGCGACCTGCTCCTTGTCACGTACAACCGGGAATTCGAAACCACGCCGGCTGACTCAATGACAGGCCTTATTATACAGCGCGCATGTGCTAACCATTCGCCCATTCAACCCCCGGTGCAGAATAGAGGGCCTGGCAAGGACAGTGTCTACGAACAAAATACTAGGGCACGTGTACACGTTGGTGTGCAGCTAAAAGAACCCATGTCATTTGGAATTATTCAAAGTAAGAGTAGATCGTTACGCGACTGTCTGGGCAAAATGTCCCTCATAGCACACTGTATGGAGCATGAAGATCTTCATTATCCCAGTCGGCGTAGTAAAGTAGAAATGAAATAATAATAATATATAATAATAATGACTTTATTTAATACATGAGTTCTAATTTTCAACATTTCCCTCCTACTCTATAAAACTAGCAACTACACAGTAATAATATTTACAAAGTGCATATATATCATATTATATAAGCTTATAATAAAGAAATATCAAACAAACAAGAAAGAAAGAAAAATAAAAGTCAAATAAACATACATTTAGAGGACAACAGTAATTAAAACAAGGGTTCAAAGATTTAACGTGTTTTACTAACTCCTATTGTTCTGCTCCGGCTGGGCTAATTAAGACGGGAATACGCCATACAGTGTGCATTGAGTGAAATGTTGCCCGGGCAGCGGCACTATGACCTACTCATTTCGAATACCAATTGCCAAGGGGTCTTTTACGTAATAATAATAATTTAATACATTTATAAAGCGCACACGCACAGGCTTAAAATTACTCAAATTTTAAAATATATATAAGTTTTAAAAGTTTTAACTTTTAGCAAATACGAATAAAATCATTACATGAATAAAGCAATTTAAACACTATTTACACACTATTTAAAAGCATGATTAAAAAGTTCAGTTTTAAGGTTTCTCTTAAATACTGCATAGTTTGAGCTGGATTTGGTTTGTTGGGAAAGTTTGTTCTACAGCATCGGGGCAGAAAATGAGAAGGCTCTTTGTCCAAATGTATACACGGGACCTCGGTTTTTCGTCCCATCTGAACAACTAGACAGCTGTCTTTGTCAGGCCCTCCGATCAGCACAACTGACAAGGGAAAACCACGTGGGAAAATCCCGATGAAATTTCTCGGCTAATGCAGGAATTGAACAACCGACATCCAGGTTAGCGAGCCCGCG